TTAGAGCAGTATCTGATTTCTACATCAATCAAGTAGAAAACTAGCAGATTTAATCATGGTCCTGAGCGCTGATCAAAATGGTTTAATCTAAATGCAGGGAGTCCTATCCTACAGTCTAAGCACTAAAGAATTTTTCAAATCTCTCACTGTCTTGTGCAGACAGTTGTGAATATTAATCTGTCTCTACCAGTGTTACTTTAATTTGCTGGACTTTGTATGGGGGAAAGCTTATTAGTATTTACTTATTTCCTAGCATACTGTGGACATGTTATAGTTAGTGATATCCAGGGATTCTGGTTTTCTCTGATCTAAAATAAATCCCTAATTTTCAGTTTAAAAAAACAAAACTCCAATTCCCCCCTCCTCCCCTGCCGCCCACACACACAGAGTAATGTTTCATTTTAATCATGGAAAAATGTGGATTTGGGGTTACTTTTTTTTAAACCAAAATTAGGGATTTTTAAAAAAATCTGGGAGAGCCAGGATCCTTGGTGATACTTCAATTGGATACCCTAATACAGCAATTCCCAAAAGGTGTGCCACGGCACGCTAGTGTGTCCTTGCCCACTCTTCAGTGGCACCAACTACATTGGTGATAGTCAACTTTGTTAGCCCGAAGTCCCCGCTTCATATCTTTTCTGAATTGAAATCCATGTCAATGATTTTCACCTAGGGTGCTGCAAAAATCAGAAAAGTTATGGAAGAGTGCCTTGAGGCTAAAAAGGTTGTGTCACTGATATAGAAGACTAGTCCTTTGGTTAAAGAAAGATGTATTTGGTGTCATCGTTTTAACAGTACATCTCATCACTGGTATGACTTTCTCTGTCAGGGGAATGCAATATGTTATATATTTTCTGAAATGTGTGTACACATCATCAACAATCCCTTGATTCAAGGGTCATCTCTACCACCGCTTTATAGATGGGTTTTGAAGGTGACATAAAAGCCTAATGCTTGAACCGCAGATCCCTCCACAGAAGCTGCAAGTCTTTTCAGTCGGGAGAGTAGGCTGCAGTCCAGGATTCCTTTCCTTTTTCTTTCATCTGGTCTCTCTCCTCTGCTTTGAGGGCAAGATGCTTTATCTCAAAAAGGGGTTCTGCCTGGTTGAGGCTATGGCATCATTAGGGTCAGTTCTTGATGTCAGCATCCATTTTCTTGAGGTATGCCTTCAATGTATCCTTGTAGTGTTTCCTCTGGCCATTGCAAAATCTCAGGCCATTACTAAACTGGGAGTAGAGCACTTGTTTTGGGAGTCGGTTATCTGCACGCAGTGTCCAGTCCAGTGAAGTTGATGCTTGAGAATCATTGACTCCATGCTGGTAACATTGGCTTCAACAAGGATGTTGGTACTTGTGTGGCAATCTTCCCGTTTGATGTGGAGGATTTGCCAAAGGCATTGTTAGTGATACCTCTCCAGGTTCTTGAGAGGACAGTGGTTGGCACTCATCTGGTTACATTTCACAGTCATGGAGGAAGATGGTGATGACAACTGCATTGTAGACCTGGCTCTTGGTGTCTTTCTGGAAATCGCGATGAATAAAGATGTGCTGAAGTAGTTTCCCAAGGGAGGTACTTGTGCACCAGATCCTTTGCTGGATCTCCTCATCAATGTTCTCTCTCTCTGAGTGAGGTGGCTATTGAGGTAGGGGAAGAACTTGACTATCTCTGGGGTCTTTCCCTTAATGGTAATTTGGGGAGGGAGGTCACAGTCATGGCCCAGGGTAGGCTGATAAGGGTAATTTTAGTCTTCTTGATGTAGAGAGAGAAGCCCAAAGTTGGGTAGGTTTCTTCAAAGAGATCAGGTGCTGTTTGGAGGTTTTCCTCAGTATATCCAAGGTCAAGGATGGTTGTTTTGAGTACTTCGGTCTTTGATCAAAAATGTTGCAGATTGAAGATCCCTCCATCCATTTGGTATTCAGTGTCTATTCCCCAAGGAAGGCGGTCCTTAATGAGAACCAGGATGACTGCCAGAAATGGAGAACAGAGTTGAGGTGATGATGCATCCTTGCTTGACCCCAGTTCAGATGACAAATAGATGTGTCTCTGATCCACTACACAGAATGTTGGCAGTCATCTGGTTAGGTAGAAGCCTCAAGACCTTGATGTACTTTTCAGGACATTCAAATCTGACCAGTATTTTCCACAAGGCTTTGCAATTGATGGAACCAATGGCCTAGTAAGGTCAGTGAAGGCCACATACAGATCCTGGTGTTGTTCCCAATGCTTTTGTTGAACCTGATGAGCAACAAAGATTGTGTCATTTGCCCCAAGGGATCATCTGAAACCATACTGAGATTCTACCAGGACTGCCTCAGCAAGAGGTAGAAGATGGTTCTAGAGGATGTGGGCAAGGATTTTCCCCCTCGTGGAAAGGAGGGTGATACCTCTATAATTCCTACATGCAGGCTTGTTTCCTTTCTTGAACGTGATTAGGATGTTGACACTCTTCAAGTCCCCAGGGACCTCTTTGTTGTTCCACACTAGTCTTCAAAGATAGGATGGTTGGTGAAGGATCCCTTTTGAGGGTGTTGAGGTGGTACCATCACAGTTGACTCACAGTTCAGGAGTGCCTCAAAGTATTCTTATAATTGGGGACCCTGGTTTTCTCTCATTTAAAAAAAAAACAAAAAAAACAAACCCAAAAAAGTAACCCCAAATGTCGGTCGGTCGGTCGTGGATTTGGGGTTACATTTTTTAAACAAAAATTGGGGATTTTTTTTAAAACTGAGAGAACCAGGATCCGTGCTTATCATTTAGCTTGGATAGATTCATAGTCTTTGAAGAATGCCCTGCCATCCTATGATGGCAGGGAAGTAGGACTGTAGGATGTTGGGCCGTAGATGGTTTTGTTGCCTGTAAAAAGCTATGCGTGTCATTTTTGTCAGCATAGAGCTGGATCTCTTTGGATTTACTATGTCACCAGTCATTTTGGATTTCCTGAATCTTCCTTTTCAGTTTTGGCTTTGAGGAGCTGATATATTTTCTTTTTCTGCTGAGATGTGACGTTACCTTGCCAAGTAGAATGAACCCTTCTCTTCCAGTGGAGGAGAGCTTGGATCACAGTGTCACTCATTGAATAAGTCTTGGTGTTAGTGGGTGGGGTAGCCAGTGGATTCAGCACAGGCCACATGGATGGAAGTTTTAAACCCCTTCCTTGAGTTCCTCAGTGTTGCCTTAATTTGCGTACAGAGCATAGACCTTTTCATAGAGACACAATTGGAGATTCTTAAAGACCTGCTGGTAGAGGTGCACCAATTTCTGATGATGTCAATTTTCCATATAATGGTGCCAGTCCAATACGGGACCAATGTATTGGTGTACATATGAGGGGCATGTCAGATCAGATTGTCTGATTCCTTGTATTTGTAAAGCAATCCAAAAGGGCCTCAATTATATGCTGAAGTTCCTTTTGTACTCCACAGCCATGTAGTGTCAAATAACAAAAACAAATGAGAAACCCTACAGCATCATTTCTTAACCTCTGGGTCGTGGCCCAAAAGTGGGTCTCAAGAATATATAAAAGGGTCATGAACAAACTTAAAAAATGGATCAACACTGGGCAAGGACTGGCCATTGGTGTTTATAAATGGGTCTTGGTACAAAAACGGTTGAAAACCACTGCCATTACAGCATGTCACAGGAAAAGAGGAACCACTACAATGCCAAAGAATTAGTTTGCATCGTCTGACCATATTTTATCTAGAAAGCAGACCACAGCCTAATTTACAGAGGATGACAAATATAATCCTGCAGTCCTTGCCAATCTGGCCAGGAGGAAGATTCCTGCCTAGCGCCAAATCTGCATGAGCATAACCCACTGATCGCGCAGCTGACAGGTTTCTTAGTATCAGTAGCAACAGAAGCACACCAGAGTAAATCTCCTATCTGTATCAGTGCTAATGCTTACTGCTTCAAAGGAAGGCAAGCTCTCTCCCTCCCTGAAGCCAAATACTATCTTTGGGTTGAGGGGGAAGAGGAGGGGAGGAGAGATTTTTCCTGGCCCTTATTGGTAATCAGAATAAGCATTGGATTGATACTGAGATGAGGTATGTCTGTCAAAAAGGTTGGCCAGCACTAAGTCCATCCCTGTCCCAACCACACACCTACACTCACCCCCCCGCCCCCCCCAGGTGATGTCCTTGTGTGCCAGAATGTAGGCAGTGGGGCTTGAGCATCCAGCTGTGATCACATGGGCCAGAGCAGGGACAAGATACTGCTGCAACAGGAGGTGTCTCTGTCAAGAGCCAGGCTAATCCTTTTCTATCTCTGCAACTGCTTTAGTTTTATATGGCAAACAGGGATCAGCTTTAGGGCTGGGGAAGAGCACCTGGTTCTGCAGTGACAGCTAACACCTTCAGCAGTGTCCTGGCCCTGCTTTGCTCCACTCCTTGCCTCCATTCTGGCACTTCACTTTACTGAGCATCTGGGGTTTGTCACATAGCAGCTGTCCATGCCATGTAGTTAGCAGGTTGGCCACCCCTCATATAAGATGACAGGGAAAGGAAATTGAATCCAGAAACTTATCACTGTTACCTAGCCTAACCTTTCTTACTTGTTCACAAGTTCTTGGAAAAAAATCATCTTATTTTTTCAGGGGTGTTTAAATATTAAATATGTCATTATTTAGACATATTAGAGTAATGTCTCTAGCTTTTTATCTTCTACAGTAATTACAGCTGAGTAGTAATGTGCTTTTTATTATTTCTGTCCAGACTGCCATGATCTTCAGATTATCTCATGCCAAGTTAAAGAGAAATTAATACTGTTGTGTGACTGCTTATAGATGAACATGTGTAAGTCCCAATAACAGGTCTTCTGTTAAAATGTTTTGGTTTTGTTTTAAAGATAATTGAAGTTGGACTATGTGAAGTTTTTGAGCTGATCAAGGAGACGAGATTTTCTCATCCGTCACTGTGTCTCAGGAGCCTACAAGCCCTACTTAATGTGCTCCAAGGCCAGCAGCCAGAAGGCCTCCAGTCAGAGCCTCCTGAAGTTCTAGGTAATATTTCATATTTTTCTTGATTTTAAATTTATTCATAAATGGATGATGTTTAGGAACCATTAAAAAGAGGACATCTGTTTGTTTTGGGACTTCAACTTACCTAAAAATGCATCACGCTTATCTTAGTAGAATAGAAGCTGTTTTAGTGTAGAGGAACAGCAATTTGGGTTTGTATAACAATGGGTTTATTGATTGTTGGTATGTGTTGAAGTAGAAATCAGATAGTCTAGTCACTTTGGAGTTTTAATAATTGTGTAAAAGACTGGTGTTAAAATCATGCAGTACTATAGCAAATTGTTGTCCCACACCACCACTGTGTTTTCTTTATCATTTAGATATTTCCCAATAATATAAAAGTTGAATAATATTCAGGGATTCTTACTTTTGTTGTTGTCCTTCCTTGAGCAATACTGTTGTTCATTCAGAAATACAATTCTGGGTAATATCAATCCTTTTTGTGTCTTACTTTGTCTATTATCAAAACTTTCATCATGAACAATTGATTTCTGTACATAATGCAGAAAAAAAACTCCATTTCTTGTCATGTCAGGGCTATCTAACTTCTTAAGCAGCTGTAGGTTACATTAGTGGGGGGCTGCCCTAGCACTGGGTATCCCCCCTCTGTCCTTTTTTCCCCCTCTCCCAGCACTGCTGGCTGTCTTGCCCTGCACTGTCCTGCCCTTTGGGACAGGGAGGGGTAAGCCAGAGGGAGATGAAGTTTGGAGACCACAGCTGCTTCTCCATCTGGAGCAATGATGGGGAGCAGGGCCCAGGTAGGAGCCTGGGAGCCACAGTTTTTAACCTGCCAGTTGAACAGTCCTGACCTAAGTAATCTCCCTTGGTAAATTTATTACTTAATCTTACAATTGTCGAATGATATTACAAGCGCAAATCAGGTAGCAGGTTGTTATTGGCAAAGAAATTTGCTTTCTTGAAAAAATGTACATAAAGGTATATGATGGAAATAGATTATAAAAAATATAATTTTGATATGGATGTCTTGGGCATCTGCCCAGCAACTGGGAATTTAAGGCATCATCAAAACCTGAAGGACTAGTGTGTAAATTCTTGCCTCCAAATTCAGAGTTGTGGTACAGTTGGATTGCAAGGAAACACCATGTGGTGTGCAGCCCCTTTATTGTCAGTTTGAGGCTTCTGTTGGTCGTCTTTATATTATGTTTTAAAAGAAAATGAAACGAGTCATCTTGTTAAAACCATCTTTTGATCCTTTGTCAGGTTGTGGAGTTTGAATTGTGATTCTACACTGGATTTAGGATACATCTTCTGTTGTGGCAAAGGGGATCATAGGCGAGGCATGAGAAGGCAGAGGGGACATAGGTGGGGGGTCAGGGGGGCATAGCCAACATTTTAAGGGGGCGCATGCCTCCTCTATATTTGTGCGTCCAGAGGGGCAGCTTGGCCAGTTTGGTGTAGGCAGGAACTGCTTCAGTGGCCCAGTGGGTGGGACCCAATACAGGAGGGTGGAACAGAGTGACAAGACTCATTTCTGCTGTCACTGCCACCTGGACCCCTCCACCAGCCACACTGCCAGCAGCATGAGGAGTCGTGGACTGGGGGGAGAGCACCCTTACTTCCTCCTGCCATCAGCCGCTCGTGCTCAGGGCTGCGGCTCTATTCTGGAAGGGAAATGGGGTGGGGGGCAGTGCAGGCGGCCTAAGGGGAGCAGTGGCGAGGCCAAAGCAAAGTGGTAGAGCTTTGGTCTGTGGTCTGGTGCATGAGCAGCTGGCAGCAGGAGGAGGTGAAGGC